CTTTTGAACACTTCTACACACCTAATGTAACATACATGGCGTGTATAGAACTGTTCAGCTAAAAAGCTTTGCTCTGTGGTCATGAAGGAAACCCTTGATACTGTCTTATATGTAGTTGATTTCTCTTCGGAGCTATGATCATTTGGTAACATCAGCTGCAGGTTATCTAAGCAAAACTTCTTTTGATAATTAACTACTCCATGGGGTTTTTTAAGACCATAAACATTTTCTCTTAGAATATAACACGTCATTAAAATTCCTTCAAAAGATATGCTAGCTCAGTGACTAAAGTACACTCTACAATCAGTTTCAAGCAAGAATATGTAAGCTTGACAACTTTTGTGTAAATATTAGGAAAAGCAGTTAACTATAGTATGAGCAGAGCAATATCAAATCTTTCAGGTTAACCAGAGTAAGCAGTTCTGGTTAGCGGTAGCCATTGGAATACTTGAACTTTGTATTTTAGTGGAACTACAGAGAATGGACAAAACAAAGAAAAGAAGCAAAAAGTCCTGATAAGTTTTAGGGTCACGGCTTTGGATCTCACAGTGTATAGTTTTTGTTGAGACTGGGTTTTCAAAGGTGGAGATTCCAACCTATAGTCATTTTGATGGCTGCATTTTTGTGGCACTGTTGAATGTCCTTCTATAAATGTGAGTGAGATTTCCACTTTTGATCGCTGTTCCTCTTTGCCAGTGTAGTTTTCCTGTGTTTAGTATATGCCAGGACTTGGCAAATCTCAGGAGCCAGGTAGCCAATGCTCACTTCAATTACAGCCTTCTCTTAACTTTTTGAGGTTTTCTCTACTTGTTGTCAATGGAGCTGACTCGAAAAAGAAACCTGCTGGCTCCTGGATTGGACAGACTGGCTCCTGAATTCCATTTTAATTTTTCCACCCCTGGTATATGGTGTCATATACTTCCTACTAAAACCAAAATGGATTAGTAAGTGACCCCTTAACCTTACTTCTCCCCACCAACATATACATTTAACCCAACCCCTTAAACAAGCCAATAAAACTCCCCACACCCTTAAAGCTAGATTTACATTTAACCTAACCCCTTAAAAGTTACCCTAACACAAACCTAGACCTAAATCACTTTAACACTAACCTAAGCTGAGGTTCCACATTAAAGAAGCAAGTTCCATACTTTCATCCTTATCCTTGATACACTACTTAGTGATTACTTCTTTACTAACCTGAAACAAGTATGTGTAATATCGGGTATTCTTGTCAGACTCAAGAAGTGAAACAAGAAGGAAAATGACAACCCTCGGTCTACACCTTAAAATTACTCACTAATGGAAGCTCCCACATTAATGTCCTGCCAGGTTCTGTTCAGGTTGTCCTGTTAGGGAAAATCTGTAAGGCAGATCATTGTTTCCCAAATTTGGGGGTAATTGCCCACAATAACTAGGGCAGCATTGCTTTAAAAATCCAGCACTTGGTTTATAGCAAAATAGTCTATTGTTTTTGTCATTGTTTAATGAACACTTTCACTATTTATGCAGTTTCATGTCACTGTGACATATTCACGTGAAAAAAATAAACATAGGGAACAATGCCAGAGTATAGAAATACTACAAACGTTAATAAGCTTAATTCGATCATTAAATTCATGAAGATTGAAGACACCAAAGCCTAAACCTCCTAAAATGTATGTATTGTAATTAACTAAACTACAACACAAAAGTGTCAACCAAAATAAGAACCATCATGCTGGACTAATTGTATGGTATTGACTTTGGTATAGTAAGCTACTTAGCTAGATAGCATGTATGTGTCTGTTTTGTTTTGCAGGTTTTCATCTGGAAGTCCAGAAAAAAAATAGGTGTTAGGGGCGAGACGTATAAAATTGCATCACATTACAATGGTGACCACTTTAAACAAGTGGGTACACAGGCAGCAATACATACCTGACAGGGGTTCTAACCTTTTTACACTCCTTCCAAAAGTAAAAAGATGTTTTGGCTTTAACAGTTTTATCAGGTCTCCAGCTTCAATAAAATACTAAAAACTGCTCCAAAAAAAAAGGAAGAGGTTATGTATCAGTGTATAAACTTTCTAAACACATAGGTTTAGTTTTATCTAAGGCTTTACTAAATGGAGTGTTAGTAATGCAGCTCTCTTGGGGCCAGTGGCGTAACAATAGCCATAGTAGGCTATGTGGCTGCTTTGGGGCTTGGTGGGAGGGGGACTGTTGAGGCACTTTTAATATACAAAACCTGTGCGCATGTGAAGATAACAAATATTTATTACTGTATTAATAAAGATTGCAGAGGTTGCTTTTGACACTGATTCTGCACCCCCCGGTGACATTACCAATCGAAAGAGCTATGTACAGGATTTATGTACAGGAGGAGACTTGAGAATCGTTGTCACTAGACACAGATCCCCTTTGCAGGCTGTGCAGTAAGCAGAATTTGTTTAGCTGTGTTAGTAGTTTGCATTGCCCTCAGAGCTTATGGTCATCAACTGAAATTAACCTGGAATGCCTAATACAATCTTGCTAAGGCTGCCAAAGTTTCTGCTCAGCCATAATCTGACAAGACACCCATATGTAGTCCTGAAAAATAACCCACACTTTAAAGATGTTTGCATTATGGTTATAGAGTAATTGTATGCAGGAGTACTAAAAATGATAAAATATGAAATATTGTAGTGGTTATTATTAGAACTACTACAACTATTGTTTATGTTGGTTTTGTTTTTTTGTACTGACTACTACAGCACCTCTTTCATCACTTGCTTGGTGTGGTGGTGGAAGGGGTGAGGGGGCTTAGAATTTAGACTGAGGTCTTAAACTGAGATGCTAAAGAAGACTGGTACAGAGGAGAGGTTAGCTAGAAAAGGCATTGTCTCTGACAACTCCTGTCCAAGGCTCTAGTGCCTGGGGGTATAGTGACTATACTGACAGCTCTCATGCTGCCTGTTCTTGATTTAGACATACTTTATGTTAAGGTCGCCAGGGGGGGCCCAATCAGGTTTTCTGTGGGGCCCTTGATCTATAGCTATGCCCCTGCTGGGGGCCCTAAATATTTTTTCTACTCCCCTTTGTTTGCCAGCTCTACTGAAAAAGTCAACATTTCTCTTTTCTTCACATCTTTTTTTACTATTCTCAAACTGTTATATATATA